AAAATAGCAATGGCAATTTTCACAGAACTAGAACAAATAATCCTAAAATTTATATAGAACTATAAAAAATCCTAGCTAGCCAAAGCAATCTTGAGAAAGAACAAAGTTTGAGCTACCATGCTACCTGATATCAAACTACACTACAAAGCTATAGTCATCAAAACAGCATGGTACTGGCATAAAAACAGACACATAGATCAATGGAACAGAAGAGATAGCCCAGGAATAAACCTAGGCCTATATGGTCAATTAATGTATGACAAATGAAATAAGAATATACAATGGGATAAAGACAGTCTCTTCAATAAATGGTGTTAGGGCTCTGGCTGGTTTGGCTCAGTGGTTGGAGCATTGGTCTGTGTACTGAAGGGTCTCAGGTTCGATTCCGGTCAAGGGCACATACCTGGGTTGCAGGCTCAATCCCTTTCCCAGGTCCTGGTGGTGCAGGAGGTAACCAATTGATGTGTCTCTCTCACACAGATGTTTCTCTCTGTCTCTCCCGCCCCTCCCTCTAGCCCAGAGGTTCTCAACCTGTAGGTTGCGACCCCTTTGGGGGTTGAGCAACCCTTTCACAGGGGTGGCCTAAGACCATGGAAAAACACGTATTTCTGATGGTCTTAGGAACCGAGATACTGCTCCTCTATCCGTCTCCAGGCGGGTCCGCCCACATCCAGATACACCACATACAACACGAGGAACCGTATTAAAGGGTCGGCATTAGGAAGGTTGAGAACCACTGCTCTAGCCCTTTCACTCTCTCTTAAAAAAAAAAAAATCAATGAAAAAATATCCACGGGTGAGGATTAACAAAAATAAATAATAAAAAATAAAAATAAATGGTGTTAGGAACACTGGACAGATACATGCCAAAAACTGAAACTACACTACTTTCTTAGGGCATATATAAGAATAAACTCAGCCCTGGCCGGTTTGGCTCAGCACTTAGAGCGTCGGCCCGTGGACCAGAGAGGCCCGGGTTCGGTTCCCACTAAGGGCACGTACCTCAATTGCAGTTTGTCCCCGGCCCTGGTTGGGGTCATGCGGGTGGCAGCCACTCGATGTGTCTCTCTCACATCAATGTTTCTCTCTTCCTCCTAATCTATCTGAAGATAAATGCATAAATGTCCTCAGGTGAGGATTAAAAAAAAGAAGAATAAACTCAAAATGTCCTGGCTGGTTCGGCTCAGCATCAGCCTGTGGACCAGAGAGTCCCGGGTTCAGTTCCCGCTAAGGGCACGTACCTCAATTGCAGTTTGTCCCTGGCCCGGTTGGGTTGTGTGGGTGGCAGCCACTTGATGTGTCTCTCTCACGTCAATGTTTCTCTCTGTCTCTTTCTCCCTCTCTCCCTCTCGCTCTATCTGAAGATAAATGCAAAAGTGTCCTCGGGTGAGGATTAAAAGAAAAAAAGAATAAACTCAAAATGGACTGAGGACTTAAAGGTAAGAACTGAAACCATAAAACTCCTAGAAGAAACTATAAGCAATAAACTCTCTGACATTGTTCTTAGTAATATTTTTTTAAAATATGTCTCCTAGGCAAGGGAAACAAAAGAAAAATTAAATGCAACTACATCAAACTAAAGAGTCTTTGCATAGGGAAGGAAACTATCAACAAAACAAAAAGAGAACCTCCTGTATGACAGAAAATATTTGCCAATAATAAGAGTTAACATCCAAAACATATAAGGAACTAATACAACTTAATACCAAAAAAACAAAGAAACATACTAGTTATCAGAGAAAAGCAAATTAAAACCACAAGAAGATACCACCTCATACCTGTGAGAATGGCTATCATCAAAGGCAAAGATGTGGAGATTGCAAACTGGTGCAAACACTATGGAAAACAATATGGAATAATAGCCAAAAAATTTAAAACAGAACTACCATAAGACCCAGCAATCCTACTTCTGGGTGTTTATACAAAGAATTCCAAAACACTAATTTAAAAATAAATATTAATTTCTATGTTCACTACAGCATTATTTACAATAGCCAAGATATGGAAGCAAACGAAGTGTCCATCAATAGAGTAAATAAAAAAGCTGTGGTACAGCCCCGGCCGGTTTGGCTCAGCAGTTGGAGCGTCGGCCTGCGGTACAGAGAGACCCGGGTTCGGTTTCCGCTAAGGGCACGTACCTCAGTTGCAGTTTGTCCCCGGCCCTGGTTGGTTGTGCGGGTGGCAGCCACTCGATGTGTCCCTTCACATCGATGTTTCTCTCTCTCTCTCTTCCTCTCTCTCCCTCCTGCTTTATCTGAACAAAAAAAATGGGAAAATGTCCTCGGGTGAGGATAAAAAAAAAAAAAGCTGTGGTACATATATACAATGGAATATTACTCAGCCATAAAAAAGAATGACCTCTTACCATTTGTGACAGCATGGATGAACCTAGAGGGTTTTATGCCAAGTAAAATAAGTCAAGCAGAAGAGAAAGACAAATACCATATGATTTTACTTATATGTGGAATCTAAAAAACAAAATAAATGAATTAAGAAAACAAAAACAAACTCATAGATACAGAGAACAAACTGCTGATTGCCAGGTGGGAGGAGATTTGGGGGCTGAGTTAAAAAGGTGAAGGGATTAAGAAGAACAAGTTTACAGTTGCAAAACAGTCGTGGGGATATAAAGTACAGCATAGGAAATATAGCCAATAATACTGTAATAACTAGAGATGGTGTCAGGTGAGTTCTAGACTTGTCAAGGAGATCACTTCATAAGTTATATGTCTAACTACTAGCTGTACACCTGAAACTAATATAATATTGAATGTCGCCCTGGCCGGTTTGGTTCAGCGGTTAGAGCTTCGGCCTGCGGTCCTGAGAGACCCGGGTTCAGTTCCCGCTAAGGGCGTGTACCTCGGTTGCAGTTTGTCCCCAGCCCTGGTCGGTTGTGCAGGTGGCAGCCACTCGATGTGTTCCTTTCACATCGATGTTTCTCTCTCTCTCTCTGTTCCTCTCTCTCCCTCCCACTCTACCTGAACAAAAAATGGAAAAATGTCCTCAGGTGAGGATAAAAAAAAAAATATATATATATATATATATATATATATATATATATAATATTGAATGTCAACTGTAAATAAATTTAAAGAATTGTTAAGACAATTAAAACAACATTCTAGGGGGAAAAAATACATACAAAATAAAATCCCAAATGTTTTATTATTAAAGCCAATAATCATGGAATTAGTCTGCAAAATTGCTACACGATTTTCTAAATCTTAGTTTCTTTATCTCAACACCAGTAGCACAGGAATCACACTTCAAGAAGCACTGCTGTAAAATCCTACTATAGTTTCAGAGGCATTGCTCCTTAATCTAAGATAGAGCTTCCACCTTTGAGGCAGGGACTTTTTGTATTTTTACTTCCTCACATACCTTTCCAGATACCTTCCCCCCAGGTTAGAGTCTGAGCAAACCATTCTAGTCTCCTGCTACTCCCAGCAATCTTGATTTATCCTTTGAGATTCTTACCTCACTTCTAAGACTCTAATGATTTGCCCCGGCCGGTGTGGCTCAGTGGTTGGGCAGCAACCCATGCACCAAGAGATTACTGGTTCAATTCCCAGTCAGGGCACATGCCCAGGTTGTGGGTAAAATCCCCAGTGGGTGTAATGCAGGAGGCAGCCAATCAATGTTCTCTCTCATGGATGTTTCTCTCTCTCCTCTCTTCCTCGCTCTCTAAAATCAATAAAGAAAAAAATTAAATAAATAACTCATGATTCGCCCCAAATAAATAGCAAGTGTGAAACTTTGTACCTTCTAGCAATTTCTGCCTCCCTTTGGTTCCAAATACTTAAATTCCTTTTTTAAAAAATCATTGCTTAAAACAAAATTACTTCATGTCTAGAATTTCAAGGGAGACTGTGTTAAAAGTATCATTGTGCTGCTAAATACTTATACAAAGATATGGAGCACACAGTCGCTGAAGGGCAGTGCCAGCCTTCCATCTGTCCTTTCTGGTTGGTGAAGGGACGGGATACCTGGGTGGGTGCACAGATAGCCAGAGGAGGGGCCAAGGAGCTGCTGTAGTCTCAACTCACTGTCCTGGTCCCCAAACCAGAATGGAAACTCGCTGTTTCCTCAAAATAAATGCTCAAAGTAGTCATTTGGCTAAATCTGCTCCTGGGCAACTGCTGTGGTTCAAAAATACTTGTAAGAGGGCTGGAAGGAGGTGGGAACCGAACGAATGGGGAGTCCAGTGCTCTGGAAATGGTTTTGGTAACCAATCGCTCCTGTCCTAGCACTGCTAACATAAAAAGATGCTGGTATTGGAAAGACGAGTAAATAAGACACCAAATCTAGTAACGTTATTTTCTGTACGCTAGTAATTGTGTAGAAATCTGCACTTCATTAAAACGAGAACAGATGAGTACCTGTTTGTTGGTTGCTTTAGGAAGGATTCACTAACAACTAATGACTTGATAGGTTTCTCAAAACAGAAAAAAAAAAAATGTTTTACGAATTCTCAAATATGGAAAAGAGAAAAGTTAATGACAATACGGCCTTCAAAAGTTGCCCGATACTTCCCATATGCAGCACTTTGAGAAGTAATGATGAATAACCCAAGAACGAACAATAAAGTTAAATTCTATCAAAATTGGAAACATTAAAATGTAAATGAAGACGAGGCTGGAGGTCTACCAAGGAAGTGCAGGAAAAACCAAGTCACAGGGCACCCTTTGCCTGGAGACGGCAGCCTGCGCTGCGAGTCTCCGTCGCCTCGCCCAGGTAAGGCCTGAAGGGGAAAGTCCAGGTGGCAGGAATAACGGCGACCGGCCCCAGGTCACGAGCGCGGCCCCTCTGGCCCTCCGCCTGGGCTGGAAGCGCGCGCGGGCTTCCGCCCGGCCCGGGGAGGGAATGCGAAGCTTCCCGGTGCGCCGCTCGGGACCCAGGGCCCGCGGGCTGCGAGTGGCCGCGTGCAGGCAGCACAGGGCGGACCCGCTCGCTCGCCTTCCGCGACCCTGACCACGGCCCCGACGCCCACTCCCCGTCACCTTCTGAGCGCTGGACCCACGGATCCGCCCCGCGCGGTCATAGACGTGGCAGCGGATCACGGAACTGCCCACGTCCAGCCCCAGCACGAAGCCCGCGTGCGGGCGCGGCGCGCTCGGCTCCGGGAGCCCCTGTTCCGGGATGGTGGACAGCCCAGGCATCCCGGCCCCGCCAGCCTCTCCGCCGCAGCCGCCTACCCAGCGGGCGCGACACCAGCACCAGCACTTCAGAGACCCAGCGCGCCCCGCGAGGCCGCCGCCCCCGGCCCGCCCCTCCGTGAGATCCGGGAGGCGGCCCCGCCCGCCGCCGGCCCCGCCCCTCCGTGAGATCCGGGAGGCGGCCCCGCCCGCCACCGGCCCCGCCCCCCCGTGAGATCCGGGAGGCGGCCCCGCCCGCCGCCGGCCCCGCCCCCCCGTGAGATCCGGGAGGCGGCCCCGCCCGCCGCCGGCCCCGCCCCGACGCCGTGACGTCACTCAGCTACGAGCTTTTCAAGGTGCGTGCTGTGGGAGGTGCTTCGTGGAACGTGGCGGGCGGAGCGCGTGGAAGTGAGCAGTAAGCTGGGGAGCCCGAGAACCCCAGCTGGCCGCCGCAGAGGGTTCTCCACAGGCCGGCAGCTTTCAGCGTCGACCTGGCCCTTAATTTTCATTATCTCCCTTGTAAGCTCCCTGAGGCAGTGCCTGGAAATGGAAAATTCGGCCGCAAGTATTAATAAACTGAGACTACCCCCAACACTTGAACAGAAAACCTGGTAAAATTTGCACATATACTACACATCAGTAAATACTTGCTAAATGTAATAACACGATGAGTGAGACCTTCCCAGCCCTCTGATGGGGAAGAAAGGACACCTTGGGTAGATGCTCTCACCATCAAGCTCCAACCCAGTGGCCGCTTTTTCAAGAATTTGAAAGCTGCTCAGAGACCCTTACCCTTCACTGCTGGCCACAGGGCATAGGCTCTTACAGACGTAAACGTGGGCAGGAAGGAGGCATGTGGAAATTCCGAGGTCCTAGCTGGAGACCAAGGGCCCTCCCATGAGGTGGTCCAGCTTTCAAGGAAAGGTCCTGGTCTGTAGGTGGAGAGGTGTTAGTGCCTGCTTGACCCACCTTTCCACCGCCAGCAGCATTACAAAGTGCCTAAAATACACTCGTTTTCTTCTTTTTGAAAATTATGAAAGTAATGCAGAAATGTGCTTTTTGTTGTTCTTGTTGTTAATCCTCACCCGAGGATATTTTTCATTGATTTTTAGAGAGAATGGAAAGGAGGGAGGGGAAGAGAGAGAAAAACAAAAAACAAAACAAAACATTGATGTGAGAGAGACAATCTGTCGGTTGCCTCCCCAATGACCCCAGCCCCAAGGATCAAACCTACAACCCTTCCCCAGAGCTCTGACTGCTGAGCCAAACTGGCCAGGGCCAGATATGAGCTTTTTGTGAAAACATTTAATAGTGCAGAGTGGCATTTCAATTAAAAAGTAAAGGATATTCATTTCTAACCAAATCATTATTTTGACTTAATTGTCATGTTAACCAGCTTGCTTTCAGCCAATTTTGCCAAATTGGGTTTTTGGTCATGTTACTTGAGGTTTGGAACATACACCTGGAAGAGTACGTTTTGTTTTGTTTTGTTTTCTCTCTCTTTATATCCTGTTCCTGTCCAATAGTACTTATTTGTTTCAAATAGCCTTAGGCTTGCCTTCACCAGTGGTGACCATTTTGTTAAGTCATATACATGTAATCCCCAGTATTGTAATTTGGATAAATAACTAATGAATTGTATACTTGTCAGAGTCCTCCAAAGAAACAGAACCAATAGGATAGAGAGAAGAGATTGAGATTTATTTTAAGTAATTAGCTCACCTGCTTATGAGGGCTGGCAAGTCTCAGGGTCATCTGGAAGGCTAGCAATTCAGGTAAGAGTTAATGTTACACTCTTGAGTCAGAATTCTATAGGGCAGCAAACTGGAATCTCAGGCAGTGTTCCTATGTTGCAGTCTTAAGAATTCTTCTCTGGGAAACCTCAGCTTTTGCACATGAGTCCTTCAACTGATTGGGTCAGGCCCACTAACATTATGAAGGGTAGTTTGCTTTACTCATTGTATATTGATTTAAATGTTAATCATATCTTAAAAGATATACCTCACAGTAACTAGAGTAATGTTTGACCAAATAACTGAGCACCAACACAGTGTGCCCACTAGACTATCCAAATTGACACATAAAATTAACCATCACAGGTCCCCTTTCACAATAGAGAAAGCTGTTTTGTATTCCCTTGTTGTTAATATTTAGCATATTTTTTAAAGTGACAGTTCTTGAGTGTCTTGGACCCTGACACTTCCCTTGTGATCCTTTTTATAAATAATCAACCTCAAGAAAGAAGGATTCCCGGTTAATTGGGCCTGAATTCATAACCAGAGTCTAGCAGCCATTGTTTACACTGGCCTCTCATGCACACTGCATTTCAGGAAAGGGCAGCAGACTGAGCTGCCAGCCTCCTGCACTGCATTCCTGCAGGATGAGCCAACCCTTATAAAGAAGCTCCTGGGCCCTGGCCGGTTTGCTCAGCAGTTAGAACACCGGCCTGAGGTCCAGAGAGACCCGGGTTCGGTTCCCACTAAGGGGTTGCTGTTTGTCCCCAGCCCTGGTTGAGTTGTGTGGGTGGCAGCCACTTGATGTGTCCCTTTCATGTTGATATCTCTCTCTCTCTCTCTCTCTCTCTCTCTCTCTCTCTCTCTCTCCCCCACTCTCTCTCCCTCCTACTCTGTCTGAACAAAGAGTGGAAAAATGTCCTCGGGTAAGGATTTTAAAAAAAAAAAAAAAGCTCCTGGTATATTATTTTGACCAATGGAACGGAGACCTTCCCTGTCTAATGGGAGTTGCACAGCTATGTCTTTAACAGCCAACCGAGCTGTGTCATAACAACCACTCAGAACAGTGTAATTTAGACCAATCGAACTGTGCAAATTTGTGCATGACATTGGCAGGAATTTTTCTCTATATAAGCCAGCCGCCCCTTGGTCTGGTGGAGTGTACTTTCAGTTTCTACCAATGGCTGTTTCTCCAGTTTGGATTGCAAGCTTTCACCTGAGCTGTTCCACGGGCGCTGTTTCAATCACATAGTTTCTCCCTTCACCAAATTGGGAACTCCTGCTCGCATTAGATTGGTGGCAGTGACGTTCTGATGACAAAATTCAAACCAGCTATCTTGACTATTACCAAAGAATCATAGAATGTGCAAGCAAGGACCTTAGCAACCACTTACTTCAGTATTTCTTAATGTTTCCAATGTTGAACAATTTTGAGACCCTGATAAATGCTGTCTTCCTGAGAAGATGCTTATATGCACAAAATTTGGCATGTATTTTCAGATGTAGGATAAACTAAACTTCAATCTCGGATTTAAAACCCAGAGTTGATTTCCCTGACCTGGACAGGCTGTTGTCCAGGAGAGGGCAAGGCCAACAAAGGACACTGTGTTTCCCCATGTTCACTGCTGTCTGCTGTCCCAGTCTCCCCCTGCTCTGCCCTCAGAGAAGAGCATGTGGGCTACAGGGCACAAGGCTCAGAAACTGAAGGTCCCGTTGCAGGTGGGTCAGTCACTTGTTCCTGACTTAGAAGTCACTGCTGCTTTGTACTCCATCCCCTGGTGGCCTTGGTTTTCACCTGGCTTGGCTGCTGCTTCTCAGGTTGCAGCTTGACCTCAGACATGCCACTGTGGCTGTGCGCCCAGGCCCTTTTCCAACACTCACTCCTCTGACCTCCTCCTGCAGCAGGACCAGGACCACGGCTCATTTGCCAGCCCCCCACACTCCGAAGGAATGTGGGTGCAGGCTGGATCAGAAAGTGTGAGAGGGCCATCAGTCCCTGTCCCACCCTGAAGGGAAGTGAATGGCGGGACCTCGCTGCCTTCCTTCCTCCAAGAAAACTAGTCACTGCCCCTCCCACCTGCTGATCGCTGTCCTGGTTCGCCCTGAGAAATTTTTTGAAACAGGACTTTCTTTTTTTTTTTTTATCCTCACCCGAGGATATTTTTTCATTTTTTGTACAGATAGAGTGGGAGGGAAAGAGAGGAAGGGAGAGAGAGAGAGAAACATCGACGTGAAGGGACACATCGAGTGGCTGCCACCTGCACGACCAACCAGGGCCGGGGACAAACTGCAACCGAAGTACATGCCCTTAGCGGGAACCGAACCCGGGTCTCTCCGGACCGCAGGCCGACGCTCTAACCGCTGAGCCAAACTGGCCAGGGCTGAAACAGGACTTTCAATGCTAAATCCAGATCAGTCCCCCAGACTACTCAGAGACTGCTGGGGTACACAGGTGATTTCCTTTGGGACACTGGCAGTACCATGTTTAGATGTCAGCTGCTATTAGACAATGAGCTCCTGACTACCGAGATAGGGCCTTAGCCTTCTTTTTACCTCCAAGACACAGAAAATAGCTGCTCAGTGACTGAACAAAGGAAGTAATATGTACCTGACTCGCCTTCTGCCTAACTTGGCCGCAGGATACAGAGGCAGTGAGCCCCTCCTTCGCGACCACCAGGCAGACCTTCAAAGTGCAGGAGCCGGCGGAGTGTGCTGGCCGCGCTCCGTGTGCAGCTGCAAGCCAGACCGAGCCCTGGCACCCACGTGCTCATCAGCCACCCCCTTTCTCTTCGCCCTTGTTTATGAGCCCAGAGTATGTGGACTGGACTCCTGCCTCAGTTTCCTGATCTGTACCTTCACTCCTGACTCTCTGGAGCCCTAGGCTGAACATCCCTGCAGGACAGAGACGGACACACCATGAAGTTAATGGAGCTTATGCTTCATTTCCTTTGCTTGCTGAACCCGCCACAGCCTTGAGAAGACCCTAGCGAAGTCCGAGTCCTATGCTTTACAGCATTTGGAAAAGTCAATTATTTTTGTATTTTTGTCTTAAAGTGGGTCCCCCAGCCCAGCCAGTGTGGCTCAGTGGTTGAGTGTCAACCCATGCACCAAGAGGTCGCCAGTTCGATTCCTGGTCAGGGCACATGCCCAGGTTGTGGGCCCGATCCCCAGTGGGGGGCATGCAGGAGGCGGCCAATCGATGTTCTCTCTCATCAATGTTTCTCTCTCTCTCTCCTTCCCCCTTCTTCTCTCTCTAAAAGGCAATAAAGAAAAATAAATAAAGTGAGTCCCCCAAATGGTACAAGCCTCCTGTCTCATAAAACCCTAATCCTCCCCACCTCCACTCCTCCTCAGAAATCCCT